CCCAACTGTCAGCACAGTCAGCAGGAGTCCTGCTGCAGACTTCTCCGGAGCTCCACCACAGCCTGTACTGTCAGGGGAAGAATGGCTTCCAATGAGTCTCTGCAGGTATTGTGCAAGGTCCTCCTGGTTTACAGCTTCTGAGCGGCCAAGAGCCCATCTGAAAAATAGAATTTTGCCCACACTGTACAGAAGGAAATGGGCTTAAAGGATTAAGTGATTTGTCTCATTCCTTAAAACTACCACAAACACATTAAAATGAGACTGCTATATGTGGTGCCAGTCCCATAGGCTCTCTCCTATTACAGATCAGCCTCATGGGCTCTCTCCTAAAAAAATAAAAAAGATAAAGATAAAGATTAAATGCCAATCTGGGCCCAGGCATGGGGCCAGTGAAGAAAGATTAGATAGGAGAAGACCTCAGGTACAAGGTCAGCTTGAAAACTGGGTGATGTCTTCCTTCTTTCTTTTCCTGTACTAGGGTTTAAACTCAGGGTCTCCCACGTGCTAGGCAAGTGCTCCATCACTGAGCTCTGTCCTGAAGGTCGTCATCCTTAGTTAAAGGCTGCTTCCCCACATGCCTCTGGGAAAGATCTTACCTTTGCCAGGTGGCCCCTGTTTCCCCCCACTTTGCCAGTCCCCAACCCTGTTGAGTCCCTCCCACCTCTGAGAGGAATACATTCAGAGCAGCAGAATAGGGAGAAAAGAAATGATTCTGTTAACTTTACAGCACGATTAGATTAAGACCCTTCCAGGCTCAAGATATGGAGAAAAGAATAATATAATTCTAAACGGGAACACACACACACACACACACACAGAGCCCTAACATAAATGAAAAAGATCAGCAACATCCTGATTTTTTCCATGAAATTAACTTTGATTTCTCTATTTTTTTCTCTCTTTTTTCCTTCTTTCCTTCCTTGATTTCTTCCTTTTCCTTTGTTTTTGGCCGTAGGGACTGAACTCAGGGCCTCACACATGAGCTCTGCCCCTAGACCTTGATTTCTTTAAAATCAAATTTATTTCCTCCCCCCAAAAAAATGTGGCCCAGCTCTGCTAATGCTCTGACACAGCGGATCTGCTGGTTAATGCAGCACTGCTATCTCATGGCGTGACTGACCACACATCCCCATTGATGTCTGCTATAAAAGCACGGTTATTATTACAACCACCTCCTCCTCTCAAAAGTGTCTCAGTTTGAACAACAGAAGGGTCTCCCTATTTTAAATCCAGGGCAGGTATATTTACTTTGGGGACCTCAGGTAGTACCCCAGTCTCATGTCAGACCCTGAGATAGTAGGAGACAGAAATCAGCACCAACAGGTTCAACAGTCCAGAGCAAGATTGATTACGAGAGGGTGAAGAGTAAAGGATGCCACTTTCAGTGTGTGTTTCGTGGGAAGCAGGAGTGATCGCAAATGTTGGCTTTGAAGTTTTTAAATAAATATTGGTTAGTTCCCTTGCTCTAGTTACTCAAACAAGTGGCTGAGCTGGGATTTGAATGGCCAGCTGGCTGGCCCTGAATGCTGACTGAAGGAGTGAATAAATGCAAGGGGTGGATCAATTACAGCACAGGATCAACAGTGTCATCTAGAGGAAGGGAGTCCAGGCAGAGAAAAGGGCAGGCTGAGATGCAGTTTGGTGGAGAAAGCAAGGGAGGTGTGATCGGGGGTCTTGTAAGGCCAGAGTAAGCGTGGGGGAAGGGACACCCTCATCCTAAACATCATCACCCCTCCTGGTCAGCTTTTATAGCACAGTGCGTCAGCCCAGGGTGCAGGAGACTCTGCCCTCACTGGAAGCCTTGTGTTTGAGGAGTCTGTCAACACTCTCGGACACACCCCTCAGCAGCACATCTGAAGCCCCTTTGAACACTCAAGTGCCCCTTTCTGGTGTGAGCACACGCACTGTGCTATAAAAGCTGACCAATGAGCAGTGTAGGCTGAAACGCTCAGAAACAGAATGTTCCAGCACAGGCAAGAGCACCATTCCTCACGGAGCCCCATTTAGATTTTCCTGGGGTATCTGCCCAGGGTATCCTGCTCCTCTCAAACTTTCTCTCTTTCCTGCTGGGTTGAATTTGGGGCTTGGCTTGACACACGTTTTGAAATTCTTTAAGACAGAGTTTGCTGCCAGGCTAACACGCACAGCTTCAAGCTAAGCTTAGCACTTTGGAAGGGCCTCAAAAGGAGGTTAAACTGGGACCAAGGGCAAGCCAGGCTCACTGTCATTCGCAGGCACCAGCCCCGGGGCTCACACCACCAGCACTGGGCAGAGATCCAGACAGGCAGCTGGTCAGGGAGGAGGAAGATCCATCAACTAGAACAACAACAAAAAAATTAAATCTCCAATTCATACATTCAGCCTATGAGTTGTCCCCAGGCACCTAGAGAGGGTGGTGAGGCCTCCCCCTGTTTCTAGGGACTGCCATCCCCCACAGGCACATTTGTGAGTCACTGTCCCAAGCCTTTTGGAATCAACCTTAACAGAAGTGCTCTTGGGGTTTTGTTCCACTGACCACTCTGGTAATCTGATAAAGCCCCTTCTCACAACAAGCATCCAAAATAAAAGACGTAGGATTTCAAAACAAACCACTTATACTGAAATACATTTATTATCATATTGAAAAACAAATTTATTGTAGAGTTTTTAAAAAGTCCTCCTTAGTGTATCAGATAAACAAGACCTAGCAGCAAGTCGTACAAATAACTACCATAATTTTGAAGTAGTGACAAGTGGAAATATTTCAAGATATCTGCAACAAATGCAAAATGATATCATAAATCTGACTTCTATTGCTGACAAATCCTGCTGATTTTATTGTGGCGTGTTGCCTGCATTCTTGTTGAAGGAAATGCAAATTTCACCATTTCAACTTTTCAGCCAAAAGTTAATTTTGTTTGTTTCTTGTTTAGCTTGTTTAAGTATTTTTCCCATCCAAGTTCAAGTTCATGGACCTCCTAGCCCCAGAATAAGAACTTTGCCTTAGGATATCACAAAGATGTACTTCAGAATGTGAGGTTTTCTAGACTCTATTCTTGTGGGATAGAGATGATACAGATAGATTTCTTAGGACCAGGAGGAAGTTGGACTATCCCAGCATGCTTTGTAACTATTTTGAATGCGTACTTGCAGCAGTTGTTTTAATCAGCTAGCTTGTGTATTTTAAAATGATGCATAGACTTTTATTAAATCAGAAAGAAGAAAAAAGAAAACACTGAGAAAAGTCTTTCTGCTCTGTCCGACACCAGGTTCCCACCTACTCAACACTTTTTTCCACAGCACTAAAAAGTCACCAGAATATTTGTGTATGCCTCTAGAAATATTCTATTTATGACATTCATACCCATATGTGCATATGTAAGTATAGAGTGTGTACACATGTATGTGTTTCTACTCTTTCTTCTTTCTAGTGGTGTTACTTTATAAACTCTTCAGTGAGAGTTACATTTTTTATTAAACAGCATATTTTAGCTCTAGTTCTGTGTCAGAATACTGCATTAGAATCTGTGTTAAAGTTACTGTTCTCTTTTGTCATGACTGCATACTAATCCATGGATTAGTATGGTTTGTGCTAGTTTACTTAACCAATTTCCCAATTGAGTGATGTTTAAATTACTTTTTATCTTTTGCTACTACAATTTTGCAATTAATTTCTAGAAATGGAATTGCTGAGGCAAGGAATATTTGGTATCTTAGCTTTTAACTTGAACATGATCAATTAAATAAAGAATTTTAAATATAATAAAATGTAAGCTAGGCGTGGTAGCACATGCTTGTAATTCCAGGAGATGGGAGGCTGAGGCAGGAGGACTGTTGTGAGTTCAAGGCCAGCCTGAGCTACAAAGCGAGCTCAAGACCAGCCCGAACTGCACAGTGAGACCCTGTCTCAAAAAAGACAAAAAAAATATAATAAAATGTAAAGTGGTATTAAAAACAAATAGGATAGCCAAGTGTGGTGGCGCATACCTGTAATCCCAGCACTCAGGAGGCTGAGGCAGGAGGATTGTTGAGAGTTTGAGACCAGCCTGGGCTACAAAGTGAGCTCAAGGCCAGCCTGAACTGCATGGCAAGACCCTGCCTCAAAAACACATGCACAAAAAAAAAGGTTAGCCAGGCATGGTCACCCATGCTTGTAACCCCAGCATTTGGGAGGCTAAGACAGGAGGATCACCATGAGTTCAAGGCCAGCCTGAGGTACATAGTGAATTCACGATCAGCCTGAACTACATAGCAAGACTCTGTCTCAAAAAAGTAAAAATAAAATAATAAGTTAGATGTGTATCTATTAACCTATCATTTAGGGGGGATGTTCATGAGATCTAAAACATTATTTCCTGGAAAGGCAAGTAATTGAGGAATGCATAATTCCATTTTTAAAAGCTTACTAACTTACTCATTTTGAACGCTAGGGTAGAGTGAGTGGGAGTGAATTATTAGCTTATGTCTTCTGTATTATTTTACATGTTGTGAGGAGAAAATACTCTGTGATTAAGAGCATCATATTTAAAAGTGTAATCAGATATAGACTGGGTTTCAATAGGGTTCTAGTGGGAAGTATTACACTGTTAAGATTTTAGAAGGAAAGCTGTCAATGGGCAAAAAAAGAAGAGATTGTTGTCTTCTTTTTTTATCTAATCTTACCAGGATCTTAATTATGTCTAGAATACTCCAGATCAACTTTGACTCTTCCATCTGCTGGCTCTACCCCTGCTCACTCTTCCAGTTCAGAAACACACTGTCAGGTTGTTTGTGGCTTTTTTTTTTTTTTTTTTCTCAAAATAAGAATTTTCTTGCAGTAGTAAAAAGTATATTAAATATATACTTTTGTATAAATGTTAACATACAAATTTTAAAGTATATTAAATTTTAACATAAAATTAAGCAAGGTAGAAAGAGGGAAAGTCACCCAGAAGTGTACCACCTGTCTTAGTCCATGTTGGCTACCACAACAAAGTATCTCAAACTGGGGGATTTGTAAAAACATCAAATGTATTGCTTACAGTTCTGGAGGCTGGGAATCTTCTTTCAGCAGTAATTCAAGATCAAGACGGTGCCATATTGTGTCTGTTAAGGACCCATTTCTCATAGATGTTGCCTCATATGTGTCCTCCGCTCCCTCAGACCTGACCCTGCTTGTATAGACTCTGCCTTTATGACCTAATCACCCCTCAGACATCCCATCTCAACACCACTGCCCTGGGGATTAACTTTTAACATACAAATTTAAGGGATTAGGAAGAAACTCGAATATTCACACCATAGCACCATCTATATTACCATCTTTGACATTTTCCAATGTAAGTTTCCAGAAGACAGAGATACACACATTGAATCACCAAGGACTTTTTTTCATTAATTATCCAGCATGGATGTCTTGCCGTATCTATACATTAGAGTCTTTTTCCCCATTTTTTAATGCTGTACAGGATTTCATAGTAGATGATCCTATAATACACTTAACTAATCCAGTTACATAAGCAACCCACTTACATAAATAAGACCTGTATAAGGTACCCCATTCACTCGGTACAAGTGTAGAGTTAAAAGTATGACCTTTTTATATCCCTGGCCCAAGCCATCTAATTCCCCTCATTGGAGGTAACTACGGTTACCAGTTTCTTGTATATCCTTTCAGAGATAGTCTACACGTCTGTGAATGTATCTATGTATTCTTTTCAATGGAAATAACATTCTATGCTTTTTTTCACTACACAGTGTGTCTCAAAGACCTTTTCACCTCACTACAAGTAGAGTAGTTTGATTCATTTTTGTAGCTGCATAGTATTCTATTTTTTCCCAATAGTTCCTTATGGACAAACATTTAGATTGTTTTAAATTTTTCTGTTACTAAAAAATAATATTCTTATAGATGCTTCACCATTTTCCACATGAGTAAATATATCTATAAGATACAGTCCTGGAAGTGGACCATATGGAGTAACTGTTTTAATTTTTATAAATATTTCCAAACCATTCTCCATAAAGATAGAATCGATTATATTTCCATAACTAACATTTGAGGGTGCCAACCTATTCCCCAAGTGTTACTACACTTTTGATTGTTTTTAATCTTGATAGGTGAAGTTTTGTGAATGAGGTTAAGCATCATTTCCTGTGTTTAAGGTAATCCTCCCTCTCTTGATCTACATTTGGTTTCCATGTTTAGCTAGGATAAATATTCTGATTGAGATTGTTTTCCTTACTATCTTATACACTTGCCTGCTGTTTAGGATTTCCTTAGGATAAAGTATACTTTGTATAATCAGATCTACAGGCAGGCTCAGGAGAAAGACCTCAGACATGCACTGCCCAATTATCCTGTGGAAAGAGTGTAACAATTTACTCTCCTATTAAGCGGTTTCAGCCTGGAGGGGTGGGGGAGTTGTGCTGATAGCTCCTAAATGCCTGGGACTTCAGAAGCTTCAGGGCTTTGCCTGACAAGCTTCCCTTCCAAGGAGATAAGATGGATTGAAAGCTTTGAACCCTTCCAGCTGACTTGGTGTCAGCTTCCCAGAGCTGAGGACTAGCTAGCTGCCCTCTTAGGACACAACACCCCATCTGTCAGGGAGCCTAGGGTGGCAGGGGTCTGGAACGTGTGTGTTTGACCCAAGTTCCAAGAACAAAAAGCAGTCACCCACCGTGTGTAAATGTACTGGAGCTCTTGGACAGCAGGCAGGCCCACCATGGTCTACATCAGTAGTTCGCAGCTCAGGGGTGATGTTTTAGCTAAAACCATTTTTAAAAAAGTAAAAGAAAACACCTGTTGGCACACCTCAGAACAATTGCATTTGCAGCCCTCAGGGTGAGTTAATAAGGAAGGATCTCTTCAAACCGGCCCCACTCGACCTGCAATCCAGGGAATGTGGTGGGCAGTCTCTATTTAGACAAGAGCACACGCACCTAATTGTAGTTGCAAAATTCGAATTGGCCCTGGAAAAGGTGCCAGTCTCACAAATAGAAAATTCACTTGCGCACCACTCGGAAGAAAAGAACCGACCCATTGAGCAGATTCTGCTAGGGAAGAGGCTCTCTGAGAAGATGTTCATGGGTCCTGGCTGGTCAGGGACGTAACTTACTGCTGACCTTGAACTGCTAATCTGGAAGGAGAGGCCAGGTTATTTTCAGACTGTACTACATCTAGAGATGTTGGAACCAGCAGCAAGGACAAAGCAGAGATGAGGTGAACCTTGACCCATTGCCACAAGGTCTGAGGACCCAGGGGAGGCCCCTAAGCCAGAGCCTGGCCTCAGCCTGTGACTCTCAGAATTTGACCAGGGAAGCCCTGCCTGCTGCCCGCCTCTGTGAGTGCTACCCCGGTTTGATGAAAAGAGTTAGTGCCTTGTCTCCTCGGAACATCCTTGTCAGCTCGTCAAGACTCCTACTGAGTAGCTGCAGGGACCGCCAGGAGGAGCAGGAACCACAGCGAGAGACTGCCACTCAATTCTCCAAGCCTCGGTTAATGCATCTGTAAAACGCAACTGCAGTCACCCACCTTACAGAACTGTGGTGAGGGATAAACAAGAAGTAAGTGAAGAGGGCCCACTGGGATCCAAATACTAGTAAATATTTCATAAGCACCAGCTATTAGTGTACATGAAGCCTTTTAGATAGCACCCGCTTTGGAGGAGATATTTAATGAATACCTATAAATATTACTGTGATGATGAAAAATTCTATGAATGGGTGGTGGGTTGGGCAGACCAAAATGGTACAGGTTCCTTTTCATTAAATCATGGGGGATTCCTCTATTAAGAAATGCAAAAATAAATAAATAAATAAATAAACAAGTTTTATTAAACAGGGTGTAATGGCCCCATGGTTGGAATGTATTGGAAGACTTTAATACCTGTACTCGTGCGTGTCTCGTTTAAAATGTGTTTTAATAATTATGAGGTGTTTTAGAAACTCCAAAATTTTAAAATAATTTAAGAGACACCCATTAATTCTCCACCGAGATTTAACAAATACACGTTGCCAAATTTACAGCAGATCTAAAGTGATACCAATGTATCTAAGTGGGCCTCCACCCCTCGGTCCTCTTCCCCGCTTTCCCAGAGGTGATGCCACGGCACCCGAGATTGAGTGGACTCTTCTCTGCGCATGCTCACACAGGAGCTCTCAGGAGCAAGGAGCACAGCCGTGGAGACTGTGGCTCTGGATTGTTAATCCTACATTTAGACTCTGCTCCTGCTCCTGGACTAGCTGTGTGGCTTCCCACGGATGGCTCGGCTTCTCCTCTCCTTCCTTTTTTCCTTCCTTTTTAAAATGAGACAAGTAACACCAACTTTACCAGGTTGCAAGGTGGAATTAGATTATTCCTAGAAACCAGTGGTTCTTAACACAGGAGGATTTTGTGCATCAGACCCACCAGGGGACAGTGAGTTATATCAGTGTGGGAAGACTTCTTTTTCTTTTTTCTCTTTTCTTTCTTCTTTTTCCATTGAGGGGTGGTACTGGCATCTAGTGGGAGAGGCCAGGGCTGCTGCTAAACACCGTATTGTGTCCGGGACAGCCTACTACAGAAAAGAATTACCCCACACAAGATGTTGCTATTCTTAAAATAGAGAAACCCTCACGTGAAGCATGCTGCTGCTTTATAAAAACTCAATAAACCTTTGTGCGACAAATATAATAGAATAAATTATTACCACTTGTTTTACATGTAAGACACTGTGGTATCCAGTGAGCTGTCCCTTCTTAGTAAAAAGAATGACAGACAACAGACCCTGCCTTTTCTCTGTGTCTGAGATGTCTAGCCGGTCTGTTAAATCAAAATGACAAATTTACTAAAAAATGTAAACATTTTGGCTAACAGATGAACTGGAAGTTTTTCCTTAGGGCCTACCTCTGCCTTGCTCTTTGTGAAAAACAAATTGTATCAGCACTTTAAGCCACAAAACTGGTTCATTTAAACCATAAATACTCCTTTAACCTAAATAAGCCCAGGGGCTGGCATGGCGATAAATAAATAAAGCATCTTAATTAAGAGGGCATTTTTGGCCCCTGTTCAGGACTGGATCTTGAGAACCCGCAGAGGAAGGGTAGAAAATGGAGAAGAGGAAAGAAGCCAGAACTCTGCTTCCGATTCTCCCCGGCTGAGGCGAACTCAGAGTATCTGGCCTATGGCTGCCTCAGGCGTCAGAGCTACAGCCTGTGCATGTTGAGAGCACCACTGTGACTGGGTCAGCAGCAGGTCCCCAAATGCCAGAGCATCAACACCAGGCAGGCTCTTGTTAGAGACGACAGACCTAGGGCATCACCCCAAAATAAGTGAATCAGAAACTGGGGGTGCCCCCCACAATCTGGATTCTCCACAGCCCTCCAGGTAATACTGATGCTTCCTCAAGTTTAAGGGCCGTTAGCGGACTAAGGCCAGGTCCCACGTTCCAGGTGTGCCCGTTTCCAGCCCCCACTCCAGCCACACGCCTGCCCAGCACAGTCCAGGAGTGGGGGAGCCACTGCTCTGATGGGCACTCTCCCTGGGTCGGATGCTTGGCACATATTCTTTCATTTTCACAACAAGAATGTAAGGGAGATGCTACGTCCTCTTCCAGATGTGCATACACCACAGCTTCGAGAGTTTAAAGAACTGGCCCCGGGCCACACTCACAGAAATAGGCCGCAGCCAGGATCTGAGTCTGGGTGACCCTGATACCAAATCCTATCTTCTTAACAATGACATCACACTGTGGCACCGCGCTGCCCACTGGTGATGAAGACCAACAAAGCACAAACAGATTAGCACTGCTGGGCCTGTGAAGATTTAGTGCTCTGCAGTCACTCTGAGAGTCAGCTGGCTTCAGCTAATTCCTGAGGTTATTAACCTCCAGGGTCCGGATACTGCCCCCCAGAGGTCAACACTGTGGACACTACGATGAGCTCCTAGCCTTTCCTTCTTCCTAGCTGTAGGACTGTGGAGATGATGCAACTTCCCTGCACACAGTTCTCCTCTGTAAATCAGTTATAATAATGCATTCATAACACACTTATTAGAATTAAATGGAGTAATAAATATGAACATATCTCTCCCAGTCCCTTGTGTACAATGGAGACTAATTAACTGTTAGTTTTCTTCCATTCTCCCCTTTATATCAACAACTACCAGAACTACTCCATCCAGGATTGATTCTCTGGAAGTCTCCTTTATTGATCAATTAGTTAATTTGAGAAGCTA